AGGAAGAGGGAAACCATGGAAAGTTCCCAATGATCAGAAAAGGAGAAACAGAGATGCTTGCCTATTTCCTGGACTGTAATTGTTATGAGATTGTCTCCCCTCAGAATCTATCTCAGTCTATCTTAGGAGACCACTGATACCCTGGCATGGTGCCTGAGGAGGAATGAAGAGACAGATACATAGAAAACATAAGAGAGAGGGACCATAGAGATTGTGAAGCACCTAAAGGCGGCTTTGGACACCCAGAGTTTTTCTGAAGTTATTTCTTCTTCCTAATGAAATTTAAATTAGCCAGTGAGGCTTATAGAGCTACTTTTAGAAAATAAATAATGAACCAGACATGGAAAAATCCTATAACACATAATTTCAATCTGAAAGGCTTGGAGTCACCTAAGTCTAGTCAGTTGGATGGCAAACGGTAATGGCAAATACAACTAATATTATGTTACATTCTAAAAGCCAAATTCTTCTTTTGGTTTGTCCATAGCCTTAACTGGGGAGCTTTGGTGGCCTAGTAGTAAGAAGCTGCACTGCCATCCCCAAGGCATGTGGTTCAAATCCACCACCTGCTCCTTGGTAGAAGGATGGGCAATCTCCTCTTGTGACATTCACTGTCTCTTAAAACCTGCTAGAGGGTCAGCTTTGAGTCAGTTTTGACTAGATGTTACATTACAACAATGGCTTAATTAAAGGCCCTCTTCTAGCCTCTGATAAGGAGATCCACATGCACCTCATCTACCATGCATAGAAACCAGTAACTAATCCTCCTGGCAAATGGCATAGTCAAATTGCTGTGGAGACTAATCTAATCTGCTGGTGGAAGCTTTGTTTTTGCTATTTTATTTTCTATCTTTTTGGAAAGTGTATTGAATAGTATTCTCCAAATTTTCATGTACCAGAATCTCAGAGTGCGATCTTATTTGGAAATAAGGTCTTGAGAGATGCGACATGGTTAAGATGAAGTGGATTTGGGTGAACCATAAATAAATCCACTGACTGTGTCCTTATAAGAAAAGAAGAAAGGGCGCTCTGATGGCCTAGTGGTGAGAAGCTGTGCAGCAATCTTGAAGGTATGCACTTTGAATCCACCAGATGCTCAGCTGAAGAAGGAGGGGCAATCTCCTCCTGTGCCAGGTGGATCCAATTTGACCACAACAACACTACAACAACAACAAGCCACCAGAGAGAAAAGGAGAGGAAGACACACACAAACACACAGGGAAGGGGAGCTCTGGTGGCCTAGTGGCAAGAAGCTGCACTGCACTCCCAGAGGAACACGGTTCGAATCCACCAGATGCTCTGCCGGAGAAGGAGGCGCAATATCCTCCTGTACCAGTCAGATCTGATTTGACGGTACACGCACACAAAAAAAAAAAAAAAAAAAAAACCACACACAGGGAAGACGACCAAGAAACAAAAAGGAAAAGACTGGGTTAATGCAGCTACAAGCCACGGAATACCAAGAGCCATTAAAAACTAGGAGGAATTCTTCCCTAGAACCTTCAGAAGGAGCACAGCCCTGTGACAATTGAATTTCAAATTTCTAGTCTCAAGAATCATGAAAAAACAATGCCTGTTGTTTAAAGTCACCAAGTTTCTGGTAATTTCTAACACCAATCTAAGAAACTAACACAGATAATATTTAAGATCCTTTAAGATAACACAATTATTTAAGTATCACATATCAGTCAGTTTCTTCAATCACAAACATAAAACAATTTTGTCATAAAATGAGCAGAGGATGTGAGGGCAGAAAAACTGGATTCACTCTGGTCCCTATGCGACCATGGCCAAGTCACTTTAATCATTTGGCATTTCCATTCACTCACTTATAAATAAAGACAACATTTGCTCTTCCTACTTAGGTTTGTGTTTGTTTTTTTAAATTTTATAATTTTTTTATTTTAATAATTTTAATGAACATTTACAGAGATTTTAGATTTCCATTCATTCATTGCTGCACTTCTCTCCCTGCCCAGCCCTCCCCACACCCAAGTTTGCGCCTCTCTTTGAAAAGTAATAGAAAAACTCCCCCGAACCCCTCCCACCACCCCAAGTACATTCCACCATGCAACTTTAATTGTGGACTCTTGTGATAACCATAATACCCTATCCCACACAATATTTGCCCTTTTGTGACTGAGATATTTCACTGAACATAATGTCCTCCAGGCTCACCCATTTTTAATAATATTGCATGAGTTCCTTGTTTTTCAATGCAGCGTAGTATTCCATTATGTGAATATACCACAGCTTCTCTAGCCATTCGTTTGTTGATGGGCATCTGGGTTGTTTCCAACTCCTTGCTATTATGAACAAACTGTGATGAACATGGGTGTGCATATATCTGCTTGGATGTCAGTTATGGTCTGTTTGGGGTATATTCCCAGTAGTGGAATTGCTGGGTCAAATGGTATCTCTATTTGCAACCCTACTTAGGTTTTTATGAAGCTAAAATAAACCCTTTTGTATGAAAATGATATGCAACCTATATCATATTTTACAACTGTTACTTGTTTTTAAATATCTGTGTAAGCTTGTAAACTTCTAGGTTTTGGAAGTCAGAGGGACCTAAGTTTGAATGCCAGCTTTACTATTTACTAATGTTTTGACCTCAAGATTTTGATCTTTATATTTTTTATATTAAAAATGACAATAAAACAATTCTCTCTCTCAGGCATGATATGAAGGTTGAATGACAGATATATCATAGGTAATCCAAAAATTCCTGAGGAGGGAAGAGGATATAAATACACACACATGAAAATATGTATGTGTGTGTATGTGTCTATACATATATATAGAATCAATGTCTTCGAGTTGTGGTGCTGGAGAAGAATATTGAAGATAGCATTGACTGCCAACAGAACAAACAGTTCTGTCCCAGAGAGGGTGAAAATCAGTTTGCTCCTTGGAGACAAGGATTTTGAAGCTCCACCTCAATACTTCGGGCATGTCAACAGGAGGGAACAGTCCTTGGAGAAGGACATCAGACTTGGAAGGGTAGAGAGTCAGTACAGAAGAGGAAGACGATGGATAAGATCGATCTACACAGTGACAGTGGCAATGGGGTCAAGCACATCAGAGACGGTTAGGATGGCTTAGATAGGGCAAGATTTGGAGTCACTGTTCACAGTCATTATGAGTTGCAGTCAACTTGGCAGCACATAACAACACATAACACACACACAACACACATAAAGTTTAAGGGATAAGGGATCCTGAAGACTGTGAAAAACCTAAAAGAGGCATTGATGTCCAGACTCCAGACACTCTTATGTTCCCTGCCTCACATGAAACCTGGGCCAGGAAAGAAGGAAGAGGGAGAAGCTGCTTAGAGCAACTCTAAGGTATAAAAAAAGGGGGGGGGGGGCAAAAGAGCCTCCTTGCTGTCTAGCCCAGTTTTATCAGACAGTAACAGGCAAAAATCCAAGAGGAAGTTCTAAACAAAAATAAAGAAATTATACATTGAAAGAAAATTCCCTAATTGTGAAATATGCAGAAAAGTGAAAACTATACCATGAATAAATAAAACTTTTACCATTTGCAAGGAGGGATCAGTCCTTTGGAGAGGGATGTCATCCTTGGGAGGGTGGAGGGACAGCACAAGGAAGACCCTTGATGAGGTGGATTGATTCAGTGACTGGGGTAATGGTGGTAGGTGTGTCAGAGACAATAAGATTGGCACAGGAGAGAGCAGGGTTCAGGGCTGTTGTACAAAGGGTCGCTATGAGTCACAGGTGACTCGACGACACATAACAACAACAAGGTTAACACTGAACTCAAAAAATGTGTACACAAGGTTAGGATTAGTTCCTGTGAATACATGAGTTAGCAGCAACATCCCTTCTTTACTCTCTTCCTCCATTTCCCTTTTCAGTTTTATCAGAATCAAGCTAACAAGCAAAACTACTTATGCTTCAATTAAACTCTTGTTATAGCACCTAGAATCACAAATGGTGCTCACTAGAAAAGTGTTTCGATTCCATGACATAGCAAATAAAACTATTCAACATATATACTATCATTTATAGTCTGTAAGGCTGACGTTGTTGTTATGTACTGTCGAGTTGGAATTGATCCATAGCTGACCCTCCAAGCAGGTTTTCAGAGGCACTTTATAGCACAGAAGATTACCCATCTTTCCCCCACAGAGCATCTGGTGGCCTCAAACTATGTGCCTTTAGGATTGTAGCACAGCTTCTTGCCACTAGGCCACCAGATCTCCCTAAGGCAGGCATTAGAGGTCTAATTTTTTTCCCCACAACATATATTTTTTTTCCATCTCTCTCCTTCCTACCAATCCCTCTTGTTTTGTTGTTTTCTTTGTCCCTAAAGAAGAAGAAATGCAGGGGGCCTAATGTGTGATTTATCAAGTTCTGAATTCCTGAGCCACTCTCTCCTTAGGAAGAAGACGAGTAATCTTATGTCCTCTGAAACCCAACAGAGGGTTGCAGTAAGTGAGAAGCAATGCAATGAAAGTGGGCTTGGTTTAGTTTCTTAAGGAAGAATAAAAATTTGAGTAATTATAATAATCAGTGAATGAATTCTCTGTTTTTAAACAGAAGGCTTTCTCAAGACAGGATGGTGGATGGTGTGAATTAATCTTCTAGACAAACTCTTAACCTAAGAATCCACGGAAGAGTTCTGACTTGCCTCCTCAGAAGTTCTATCACTTTCCTCTACTTTTTATCGTCAGCAATCCAATTGCCAATCCTACTACATTCTGAATCAGCATCCCAGAATTAGCCAAAACATGACTGATGAGGAGCCCTCCCAGGAAACACAAAGTTGATGCTCAATAAACTTCCCCTTGAACTTGATTCAGACTCTCACTTCAACTTGAGGTTAATCAACCAAGGTGCAAGACAAAGAGTGGTTGGTCTGGGTTTGGATGGGGTTCCTGGGAAAGCCCCTATTGTCAGCTGAGTTCTTCCTCATCCCCAAAAGGTCAGCAAGGGGTACTTTTACTCCCGCCAGATAGAAACAGCTATACGTACGGTAATCTTGCTGGCTTGGTTCAGGGCTTCAACCCAATCCTTCAGATCCTTCTGATCATTGGCTTGAAGAAAATATCTCTGAGAGAGAGCATTGATGACTTCAAAAATCCCAGTAAAGAAGAGAAAATTGCAGGTCAGAACACAGGCAACAGAAGAAAAAAAAACACTCTATGAAACTAATTTAAAACGTTTTAATTAGTAAAGTGGCTAATTCCCAAAGCCATTCAAGAAATTTCCCATGATGCTAAATCACATGCATTAATGTCTAGGAAGCAGCAGGTCCTACCTATCTGCCCTTCAAAACATGGATTATTCTGCTGGCCACAAGAACCATGCCTAACAACATTATCAACAGCCTCCATAAGCTGTTCTGTGGTGATAAGGCAGTCTGTCTGTCTGCCATCGACAAGACAAATCCTTGAACTGCATTTTTAATGGTGCTAAAAGGTTTACAAAGGTGATGATACATATAAAAATTTGGACTCAATACTCCTTGTTTCCACTGGCACAATCGACCTGGATTAGGAGTCTTGTTTGTGACTGAAAAATGGAACAAAGCTTTCTGGAGATAATATCTATGACCTTGGCCTCCTTTTGAACCTGCTCTTACCTCGGAGAATTCCATTAGGTCAACAATTTACGTCTGAGTTTGTCATACTTTTTTTCTTGTCCCTGAGATTTGCTAACCACAAAATCTATGAGAGTCCTTTTTGAGTTTGGCAATAATATCTCAAAGAAATGGGAGAATGAGAGCACTCAAAAATTTGGAACCAATCCAAAGCTGAGTTTATTCTCAATAATGAGCCCAAACCATAAGAGGTGAGCATCAGAAGGTAAATATAAAAGTTATTATATATTATACTCAACAACCACTGAGCGCTTGCTATGTGCCACAAACCATTCTAAGTGCCAAGGTATATAGCAGTGACCAAAGAGAGAAAAATCCTTGCCTTCACGGAATTTACATTCAGAGTCACCAGTGATATACACCAGGGTCTGTTCGTTAGCAGTTGTTTATAACCCTTAGTACAGCTGTGAGAATGTTGTTGTTATGTACCATCAGTTGGAACAGACTCATAGTTGACCTTTCAGCAGGTTTTCAGAGGTAATTATATTGTATGGGAGGAGACTGCTCATCTTTCTCCTATTGAGCAGGTGGTGGATTCAAACTGCATGTCTTTGGGATGGCAGCACAGCTTCTTACCACTAGGCCACCAGAGCTGAGGGGTAGCCAAATAAATACTGATTCAATGGGCCAATACATTCACTGCATGAGCTCTGTGCCCTGCATCATCCAAGAACACTGTCACTCACGTGGCACCACTGGAATGTTCAACAGAACAACCACCTTTTCTAGTACCTTTTTACAGACCTTCTTTGCTCTTCTCCCTCATCGCCACTTGAGTCTACCTTCCCTGAAGAGCTCAGCTCTGAAATAAGCATTCTCAGAAACTTCAAAGTAGAAATTTGCATCTAATCTTGTGGCATCAGAAAAGTGGAAATGTCACTGGTTGCTGCCCGTTTAATCTTTTTGTTATTAATAATTACTCCAGGGAGGCCAAGAAAAGCAGTACCTCTTGGGACCCAGGAACATCATTGTGATTTAAGTCACTCATACACACAGGGCAGAGTCACATGTGATCACATGACTGCTTCCATGCAAAAGAGGAAGTCACTGTGCAAGATCAGGGAAGCCCAAGCTCCGCCTGGGCACTACTTACCAAAGCAAAATGAAGTTTTTGGCTTCTGCTTTGGGGTGGCTATGCTCACCTAAATCAAATGAAAATAGACACACATGAATATGTTTCTAACAGCAATGTAATGCATGTTTTCCTTCCTTTTAAAAAAAATGGAAATTTTTTTCATACCTAAAGACAACAGTATAAAAAATGTATAAATTTTAGAAGTAAGGAAAACCCTGTCCGTACTCACCAGCCAAATTAAGAAACTGGCTGTTATCAGCCCTATTTCTCAGAAGCTCTCTGGGTACCCCTCCCTGATATAATCCTTGTCCTCACCCCTGAGAGGAAACTGCTATCTTATCTCTGTGTCAATCTTTACCTTTGCAAAAACATTTAAAAGCTATTGGGTTGTTCACTGTAAAGGTCAGTGGCTGGAACTACAGCTCCTCCTCAGGAGAAAGATGGGCAGTCTCCTCCAATGAAGCTTCACAGCCTCCCAAGTGCGAGCTGCTAGCAGTTGGGATCAACTTTTTGACAGTGAGTTTGGGTTGTGACAAAATTCTCTCTAGTCCACAAAATGTTCATGGACACCATTTTATCTAGTAGTATTCTGCTCCTCTCAATTAGGAACCAAAACAAAAATGCCAAACCCACTGCCCTCAAGTCATTTCCACATCACAGTGACCCTGAGAGGGCAGAATTGCTCCACAGAGTTTCCATGGCTTCTGGAGATCTTTATAGATCTTTAACGCTTCATCTTTTCCCCATAAAGCAGTCTAGTGGGTTTGATCAACAAATCTTTCAGCTAGCAGCAAGTACTTTAACCACTGTGTCACCATGTCTCCCTCAACCACTGCCATCTCTCCTGAACAGTTCTCCAAATTGAAGGTGGCACTGCTACAAAGACATGCAGATTACAATTAAAGGGTTTACATTAGCATATCACTTGCTACATTTAGAACAATTTCCTCTATCTTTACCCTGACTGCCTAACCACAAAAATAGGCCCTTCTCACATGCCCAGAGAGGGACTGATGTAATCAGTCACCACACTATGTATTTACAAAGGAAGAGCATAAGAAAGAGGAAATTTCTTTAAATTGTGGTAGAATATATTTAAAATCACATTTGCCATTTCAGCCATTTTTACTTACACATTCAACTCAGTGACATTTATTACATTCACCATGTTGTGCAATGTTTGTCACTATCCATTTCCAAAGATTTTCCTCTTTCTTAATAGAAGTGCCCCATCCACCTGTCCCTGGTAACCACAAATAAACTTTGGTATCTTTTCATTTACCTGTTTTGATTTCTTTCCCTCAACATACTATTTTTAAGATTCATCCACGTTAGAAAGTACCAGAACTTGAGATTCATCTTTTAATCCCACCTTTTATCTCCTGTGGATAATGCTACAATAAAGAGTGGTATAAAAGTAACTTTTAATTTCTGCTTTCAGGTCTCTTGGATACATACATAAGAATTACATGGTCATATGGTGACCTATATGAAGAATGTGGCATCAGGATTGGAGGAAGACTCATAACAACCTACATTACATTATGCAGATGACCCAACTTAGCTTGCTAAAAGTGAAGGCAATTTAACATGCTTACTAAGAAGATTAAAGACTCAAGACTTCCATATGGATTACACTTGAACATGAAGAAAGCAAAATTCCTCACCACTAAACCAAGAGGCAACAAGATGATAAACAGAGAAAAGGCTGAAGTTGTGGATGATTTTACTTTACTTGGACACGAAACCATCGCTCTCAGTTGCAGGAATCAAGATCCAAAGATGTGAGCAAATATGCTGCCAAGGACTTCTTGAAAGTGAAAAAAAAGGAGGTCAGTTTAAAGACCACAACAATCCTGACACAAGCCATGGTCTTTTCATTCACTTCCTTTTCTGTGAAAGTTGGACAATGAATAAGAAAGACCAAAGAATAATCGATGCTTTTAAATTGTGGTGTTGGCAAAGAGCACTGAATATACCATGGAGTGCAGAGAAAAAACAACAAACAAAAAAAACTAACGTGTTTCATGGAAGTTTTAAAGGGGTGTTATTTGTAGGCAAGGATGGTAAAACTTCATCTCCCATACCCTTTGGCATGATGTTGGGAGGTGTTAGTCTTTGGAAAAAGACATCATGCTTGGAAAAGTGGAGGGTCAGCAAAAGAGAAGATCCTCTATGAGGTGAATTGGTACAGGGACTGCAACAATGGGTTTCAGCATCGCAGAGATTGTGAGGATGGCACAGGGTAGGGCAAAGTCTCCATCGCTGGTATCAATACACTGTTCAGTCAACTAGGTGGCACCTGACAACATCACCATGGGAACCTACTGGAGTTCTCGTGGACTAGTCCATAGTTAGTCACACTGCTAACTTCACATGTGTCCGGCAATCTGACTCTACTACTGCCTGAGAAGGGAAAAGGTGGGTAACTCTGCTTCCTTTAAGACTCACGGCTTCAGAAACCTAATGAAGGATTAGTATGCATCAGAATCTCAGTGGCACTGAGTTTGAGGAGTTTTTATGGTAACTGATGTCCAACTTTTTGACAAGAGTTTTTAATTTCTGCTAGTTCTTCTTGTTTTGTTTCACCTTGCTTTTCCCCACCCTCTCCCTGCATATGTAAGCACATAACCAAAACCCACTGACAAACCTTTTCCCACTCATGGTAACTCTCTGACAGGTTTCCAAGCCTGTAAAATCTAACAGGCAGAGATTGCTTCATCATTCTCCCATTGAAAAGCTAGTGGGCTCAGCAGCCCAACACTTAACTGACTACTTCACTAGGGCTCCTAAGTCCATATTACTCAAGTTCAAATATACTGAAAGGATGAAGGGGAAAAAAATATTTGATCACATGATTACAAAGATTATGGGATTACCCTGGATGTGGGTGGGCTAAAATTCTCTAGAGCAGGTCTCTATGACTAACCCTGGGATTTCTAAAGAGAATATTACCATCCTGGACTTAGACCAAAAATTATTCACACATAGATTTGAGACCTCCAACAGCTGCTAGAAAGACATACCTTATTCTCCAGAGATAATACAACCTTGCTTGCTGAAACTGAGGAGGACTTGAAATGCTTGCTACAGAGGATCAAAGACTACAGGCTTCAATATGGGTTACATTTCAACAGCAAAACAAGAAAAATTCTCACCACCAGGCCAATAGGCAAAATCACAATAGAAGGAGAAGAGATAGAAACTGTCAATGATTTCATATCACTTGGTTCTACAATCAGCCTTTGGTACCAGCAGCCAGGAAATTAAAAGACATGTTGTACTGTGAAGTCTGTTGTCAGAGACTGCTCTAAAGTGCCAAAAAGAAATGATGTCCATTTGAAAACTAAGGTGCACATGATTCAAACCACAATCTACTCAAGTATTTTCTATGCATATGAAAGTTGGAGAATGATTAAGGATGATAGAAGAACAGACACCTTTGAGCTATGGTGTTGGAGAAGAGTGCTGACTATCCTGGAGACTGCCAAAATGACAAACAAATATATCTTGAAAAAGATGCAGCCACAGTGCTCTTTAGAGGCAAGGACAGTGAAAAACTCATCTTACACACTTTGGGCATACTGTTAGGAGGGACTAGTCGTTGAAAAAGACATCACGCTTGGAAAGGTAGAAGGTCAGCAAAAGAGAAGACTCTCAACAAGCTGGGCTGACACAGCGACTGTAACGGGGGGGCACGAGAAAGGCAGCGATGATGATGGCACAGGATAGGGCAGGGTTCACATCCAGGTTTGCTATGAAATGTAACAGTACCTAACAACAACAATCACGTAGCCACCACTGGAGCCTTTGATGTCACAATCCTTCCCTAGATAGAGTTCTCCTCATCCCCTTTCCAGCCCAGGAAGTTGTTTCTAATTAAAAAAAAAAAAAAAAAAAAATTATATATATATATATATATATATATATATATATATAAAGCCAAGAATTACATAAAATCTTCAAGTGAAAACTAAACTAAGGCTCTGGGTTAAATGGTTAATGCTCTTGGCCACTAACCTAAAAGCTGGATGTTCAAGGACATGCAGAGCTACCTTGGAAGAAAGGCCCAGCAATCGATTCCCTGGAAAACCCTACAAAGCACAGTTCTACTCTACACACATGAGGTCAGGCCGGCCGAGCAGAATCAACTTGGTTTTTTAATGACTAACCCACAAATCTGCCTAGATCTTCACTCCTGACTTTAAATTCTTCCTAGAGATCTTCCTAGATTCCTATATCAACTAAATAAACTAATGCTTTAAATACTGAAGAGAAGCAGGACTGTAACAGATCAAGGGCAGACAAAAGAGCCAGGGCTGTAGCATTCAGGAGCCAAAACTCAAAGCTCAGGCTTCCAGATGTGTGGCCTTCATTTCTTGATCTATCAATTAGGGACAATAATATCACATTCCCACAGAGTTATCATAAGGATTAAATGTGATAGTGCAGGGAAAGCATTTAACTTATCCAGTTACACAGAAGCTGTTCCAATGACCTTCTATTTATAGCCTCTGACCGTCTTATTTCCTTTGAGGTGCCACTCCAACTGGCATGACAGGGCAGGGTCATTTTGTCTAGCACAATGGGCAAAATGCTGAGGGACCATGAGCATCTCAGGTGCTTACAAAAATATTTCCAACTTTGAAAAAAACTGCCTAGCCTCTAATATACAAAATGAAGATCAGATAATCAAAATTAATATTTTACCAAATATCTGCTAAACATGCCAACCTTGTTGACAAGTTTTTAATTTAGTATCTACAACATGTCATATTAAGTCAATTTCACTAATTTTTCAGAGACATTCAGAAAAAAAATTACTGAACTTTAAACAATTAGTAGCTTAGATTCTTTTTGTTTACAGCAATCCTTGCATATGTATGATGACTGCATAAATAGAGTTAACAGCAAATTAAATTTGCTACTCATAGTGGAATAATTTCAAAAGGAAATTTAAAAAGGCCTCTTTCGTTGTAGAGCAAAATAATTATACTTAATAAAGATTATGGAGGCATTCTAATATGTGGACAGCATAGGACCAAGTCCAGACACAGACATGCCAGC